TATAGCAAACAAAATGTACTAGTACATTAACAATACTCAAAGGCTGATAACAGCAAAGAAAAAAGTGTCAAAAAATAGCATAATTTGTTCATCCTTTAAAAAGAATTCTAATAAATAAATAATCACACCCTTCTTTAACATTGCATCAGAGTGATAAATTAATAATTTTAACCTAATTTACTACTGTCATAAATACAAGCAAATAAAACCCTGGTGTCCTGAAGAAATTTCGTGTCTAGTGGGATTTCATGGTGAGTACATGTTGTTACCAACATGAACATCAACATTCCATGACAAATACAAACATACATTTCTATATCAACAGCAAGACATTGTCCACACAAATTATACAATTTCATATAAATGTACTGGATATAATTGATTTATCAAAAAAAACAAAAACAAACAAACAAACAAACAAACAAACAAACATCTAACAAGATTCATGAAAAACACGATTTCTTCACCATCTTCTAATTCTAACTTTTAATTTTTTTAATTAACAAAAATACACTTTTATTTATTGATCAGTACAAATAAGCTGCATGATTAGATAAATGAAAAAAAAATTAAGAAAGCACATTGCCAGTGACTAATATGCTCACCTGAGTTTTCACAACTTTACATTTAATCCATCTGAAAGTTTATAATGAATTTAACATCATGGTGAAATCTTATAATTCCTACCTAGTGTACCTGAGATGAAAAATATGAACGCATGGTTCTTTTCATATTCCTATAAAATATTCCCATCTTCATGGATATTATTTAAAATTAAATTTATTTATTTAGCCAACCGCGTGCATAATATTTGGACGGGTTGTTGTTGTTGTTGAATATATATAGCTATATAATATTTAAAATGTTAAAAGAATAGTATTTTGTACCCCCCCCCAAAAAAAAAAAAATAGATTAGTGTAATACATTTGTAGCAATAACTATGAGTTCATTTTTTAATGCAAAAATTAACTTTAAAAAAGTGGACAAAATTGAACTCATGGTCCACTAATGAATGATATGCACCGAATTAAAAAAAAAAAACAATGAAGATATGTAAAGGTGACGATATTAACAAAAATCATTAACAGAGCGTAAAATTCCTGGAAATTCCACGAAGGAGGCAAGGTCCTATCAAAAAAACACTGCTGCCGTATATTAATCAGCTGCAATATTATTTAAGTTTTGAATGAGAATAGTCTTTCTATCGATTGGTATAAAATATATTATTCAAATCAAAATCATTTTAACGGCCATAAAATACAAAATGTTGATATTAAGGTCATAAAATACAAAATGTTGATATAAACGAATTTGTTGAAATCCCTGTAGCATAATTTTATATGTCAATAGCCTTCCTTTGTTAAAAAAAACTGTTCTTTATTGCTTCCCATGCATGTTTCTACCGGTGTCTTGCTCTATAAATCCCTATTTACATGCAGTAAAAAAATTATTTTGCGGATTCAAAAAAATCTAAACATAAAGACGCGCAGACAAAAAGAGTACGTTGTCGGCAGGATTCGAACCTGCGCGGGGAGACCCCAATAGATTTCTAGTCTATCGCCTTAACCACTCGGCCACGACAACTGCTACCTTTAATAGGGTTTAAATACGAACAATAATTAGATTAACTTATCTAATGCGCCTCCTCCTTGACACACGTACACTGTATACATTATAATAATTAAAAATGTACATTTCATTTACGCTTTTGAACATTTAAATAACACCTCATTTGAATAAGTTTCCATTATTAATCACTATATTTTAAAAGGTAAAATTTTAAAAAAAAGAAAAGAAAAAACAAAATAAAAATCAGCTGTTTTCAAGAAAGATTAAACTACATGATTGTATACTTTTTAAACAGTAAAATTTACGTTCATTATATTTATTAGAAAACCATTCATAAAGGAAGTCAGAAAAAAAATCCAATCAGACTGAAACTAATTTTTTTTTGACAATTCAGCAGTTACTTTGACAAGCATCCGCTTATTTTTGTGATTGAGTTAAGGCATTTTAATTTGATTGCTTTATTATTTTAGATTAAATGTATAAGCATTAAAATATTAAAATTCTGCAAATTTATTAAAATTTAGATTAAAAAAAAGATGACGCCCGCCATTCGCAAGATATTTGGCTGTATTTCATTGCAGGAATTTTTGGTAATTATCAACTTTTCATTTATTTCTTGTTTTAATTTCCCACATTTTTCAAATACATAATTATGTAGTACATATATAAACAGATTTGATAACTTTATTTATGAAAAATTTAAAGGATTAAATCATAAATAAATCATTGAAATCCAATTTTGTAAATCTATCAGTGACTTGGACTAACATTTAATTTAGTGCACATTAAATGTGGTGAAAAAGTTTTATGCTCATTGAACACTTTTAGCTATACTTTGTGCTACATGTATGCATATATGTATCTAGATGTTTTTTTATTATTATTATTAATATTTTGGTATAAATACTTTTAACATTCCATTTTCTTTTACTTAGAAACCACTGAATTGCCGCACAGGTAAATTCCGAAAATGAAAAGAAAATTATGTCGGAAATGAAAACAAAAAATGTCGGAAATGAAATAAAAAAATGTCGAAATAAAAAAATGTCGGAAATGCTATGCATATTTCCGGAAATGAAATGCAGCGAGATATTTAGCCATTAATGTGCCGACATATATCCTATGTATACTTGATCTAACCCCTGAAGTTACCGGAGATCTCTTTAACCCCTTCCATGGCAAAGACTTTAAGCATTTCTAAACAAATTCATATAAGATTTCGATGCATTTTTTAGTATTTGCTTTAATTTTTGTATATACCAAAGTATATATATTCTGAAAGCAGGTATTGTGTAGTTTCTGAAAATGCTTATAAAAATATCATTTCGGGGGTTGCCATGGCAATGAAATACACCTTAATTGGAATTTCCATTTATCCAAAAATGAGTTTCATTCTAATTCTTTTTTTTTTTTGCTTAGATAAATATATTTAAAAATATTTTATTGTTGTGTTGAAAATTATGAGCATGTTGTACGTTTTTTTTTTTTTTTTTTTTACAAACCAATTTTAAGTATTTTTGTGGGATGGTGTGGGGTTAGGAGGTAATCACCAGAATTTAGCATTTTTACATATAACGTGTTACCCTGCATTGATTTCGATAATGGCAAAATCGCTCAAATAGTGCGCAAAGTTTAACCCAAGCTAGCAAAAAAACTGACAAAACCAATAGAAATAAAATCTTATATTATTTTATCGTAATTATCATCTCTTTCCAACGGTGCAAGATTTATTCTGATATTGGCAGTATTAACGAAGTTATGAATGCTTTTTTTATGGCACGCCAAATTCACAAAAATGAGCTAAACCTATTCTCACAATTGATAAAACAGGTTTATCGACTGTAAACTATAGTTTACAAATCGTAAACTATAGTTAACGATTCGTTTAGTATGGTTTTCATCTGTAAAACTATATTTAACGGTTGTTAACTATAGTTTACGAATGCTAATCTTAGTTTATCTGTCTGTAATAAAACGTTAACAATAGATTTTGTTGATAAACATAGATTCACGTCTGTAAACTATAATTTACGATCGTTAACTTTAGTTAAGAGTTGTAAACCATAGTTTACAAATCGTGAAACTGTAATTATCAGATAATCTACGTTTTGCGATCGCAAAAGATTGTTTTTGGTGTAAAGTATAGTTTACGGTTGTGAAACATAGATTATCGCGTTAACTATTGTTTACAGATGTAAAATATAGATTAACGTTGTTAACTATAGTTAACAGTCCGTAAACTATAGTTTACAACCGATAAACCTAGTTTATCGACTGTGAAACTATGTTTTGCTCATTTTTGTGAATTTGGCGTGCCATTCTTTTTCACACTATACGCGTTTTCAAGTCAGATGCGTAGAAATGCATATATGCCATGTAAGAGACTTGCAATAGATTGTTATTTTTTTCTTGATAGGTAAAATATAGATTAACGATGTTAACGATGTTTACAGTCTGTAAAATATAGTTTACAACCGTATTTTGCTTCTTATATGCCATGTTTTCTATTTAGTCTGTGAAAGTTTTAGTCACCATAATTAATTCATAATATATTGGTGCGTTTCAATTTAAATACTAATTCAGACAATCATTTTAGATCACAAAATTTCGCGATATTTAATTATTGCAACTGATATATAATATTACACTGTATCATAAGCAAGGGGCAAACAAATTCATATAAATGTTGAATATAATCATGTGAAGGTTTATTATTATAATATCATTTATGTATTGCAAAAGATTCTCGAACAATTACGTAAAATAAAATTCTAGTGAAAAAAATGATTTGCTCCGAATAAAAGTATTGGTCTCGGAAGCAAATTAAAGTGGTGAGCTAATTGAAATTGGGGGAGGAGGGTTAACCCAACAAAAAAAGGCCCCAATTTTCAATGCAGATAACGGACAATTTCATGCCTAAAAGCCCCTGTAAACAATGTAAACTGTGGGCAGAGCCATCAAGGACTTCCATAAGAGTAGAATTTAGCGAAGACATGATATTGTTACACAAGTTTAGCAAGTAATATGGTCTGATTCTATCAAACAGAACCAATGTAATAACTGAATTGAATTTCCTAGTCCAGAGTACGAAACATGAAATTCAGCAATGGAATCTAACCCCCCCCCCTTTCCCATTATCTGCGAACACAACGTTTTGTAAATCACTGTTTTAATAAAAAGAACTTTTTTCCCGCGTAATTTCGAGATCTAGACGGGATTCCACTTTCCGCTTTTAATTTTCATTTCTATGGATTCCACACAACACTTCGTTAAAACTTTGTCTCGCTAATACCAAATACGTATTTTGCGAAATAAAACAGTGATCTGCACTAAATGTACTCCATTCATTTAAAAGTTAATGTAAAGATATCTAATACCTTATAATATACAGATAATAAGCATTCCTTAGACCAAATAAAGTCAGGCAAGAATTCATTTCAAATGTAAATTTTATTCCTGATATTTCAATCATACACATGTAACAAAAAATATTTCAAAATTCATTATCTTCCAGTACAAAAAAGAGACTGCAAGGGGTACATGCTAAAAACGAACAGAACAACCCCTTTAGTTTGCGATTTACAAATCTATTTTTTTTTCTTCTGTTTTCCCTTACAACTGCGAGTATTTATAGTGTATCTTCAAAATCATTGGCGAAACAGTATCATACCTGAAAAATTGCATTTAAATAATACTAAATTTTTAAACTGACAATTTAAAAAATGTACCTATGTTTCTCTGATAAAAATAATACATACTAAAGATGGTTCAAGGCAGACATGTTAAAAAATCTAAACTTTGTTTTATACAAACTTCAATTGCTCATTAAAAAGAACAAAAAGTTGAAAATCTGATACTGTGAATATAATTATTTTATTTCGATGATTAATTTTGCTTGAACAAAAAGCCATCAAAATTATTCTTTAATAATTTCACACAAATTCTTCACCCAGAGAATCATATCATCAGGAACAGATTAAGACTGGGAGGAAGCAACCTCCACTGAGGAATTGACACGACTTTTTTCATGAATTTAGATCAATCGACTGCTCAGCAGTAATCAACAACAACACCGTATTCAGCAACCTTATCTTTAAACCAATAAAATAGAGAGAGATCAGAACTAGGTTCAAATCTGTGTTCAGAAAATCAGGAAAAAATTCCTAGAAAAATCCACAAAAGATTCAATTAAGGCTAGGTTATTTGGAATGACAAAAGCGCGAGATTCATAAAATATAAATATACAGCATCAAATACTGGCACACAGTAACAAATGGGCAAAAACAAAAATTCCAATGAATGACATTACTCAAAAGCAATTTATCGTAAACAATAAATGGTATCAAAAAATAGCATATCCTGTTCATCCTTTAAAAGGAATTCAATAAATAGGTAATTATACTCTTCTTTAACATTGCATCCAAGTGATAAATTCATTATAATTCTAACCCAGTTTCCTACTGTCATAGATACAGGCAAATGAAACCCTCTAGTGTCCTGAAGGAGTTTCTAGTGGGATTTCATGTTGAGTACATGTACTACATACACTCATGTTACCAACACGAACATCAACATCCCATGACAAATCCAAACATACATTTCTATATCAACAGCAAGAGATTGTCCACACAAATCATAAAATTCCATATAAATGTACTGGGTGTAAATGATTTATCAAAAAAGGAAAACAAAAAATATTTAACAAGATTAAAAAATGATTTTCTCCACCATCTTCTATTTTCTTACATTTTAATCATATTTTTTAATTAACAAAAAAAAAAAAAAACACTTGAATTTATTGATGAGTATAAATAAGCTACATGACTAGATATATAACAAAAATATTTAAGAGCACAAGGCTAATGATCTAATATGCTCACCTGAATTTTCTTTGCTTCACATTCATCCATCTGAAAGTTTATTATGAGTTTACTTAACATCATGATGGAATGAAACAATTCCTACCTAGTGTTAATGAGATGAAAACTACAAATGGTTCTTTTTTTTATTCCTATAAAACTGTCCTGCCTTCTTTCTCCTCTTGTTAGAATAATTCCTTTAAAGTGGAAGAAGCCCTATAGAAAGTCCCTTACCAAATGCTTTACTTAACCACGTTTCACATATAAACAGTCCAGTAAGTCTGTTGAAATGTCAACAATTATCAAACATTAATGAGTGCAAAGAGACCTTCAGGAAAACTTCAGCAAAAATACTGTCTTCAACATCAGGTTCTAATCCAAGAATACAAAAAACTGAGCAGGAAAAAAACCTAGCATTGTTAAGATAACAAAAACATGGGAATTATTCCTTCTTATAAAAAAAATATATTAATTAACAACTTGGTTCAAAACTGGCATGAAAAAATATGTTATCAAATATAGAACAAGCATGGCTTAATGAAATTAATCAGGCAAATATCATATCAGCTGTCAAGCTGCATTTAATTCTGTGTTTGTTATAAGTTCACATATGGAAAGATTCGGGTGAATGCAAGAATATTAAGTTATAAGGAAATAATCATAGCCACAGAAGAGATCTCTATACATTTGTGGACAGTTTGTCATATGAGTCCTGCACTTATAATATTAAGACAGTATACATAAGTTCCAACTGCCTGTATCAAGTGAATTTTCATCTGATCCTTTGAGGTAATCATAAGAATGACAATGTATAAACCAGTATTTTTGACAATAAATTTCAGCAAAAATTCTCTTACCTCAGTCTAATATAGAGGCAGATTTAGAATTTATCTTAATATCTTTAACAAAAATATGAATGGTATGAAAACATTTTATGTACCTTGCTCTGCAAGGAGTGGGCATATTAATAACAGCATGTTAACATGGAGAGTTACCTATGACAACAAAGGGGAGTAACTCATCAAAGGGGCTAGCAATCTTAACCTGGAATATTTAGCTTGACAATTCATCCTTGTATATCGATATCTCCTCCAAAATTCATCCTTGTATATCGATGTCTCCGCCAAAACGAGCCATTATAAATATAACTCCGAACCCGCACAACATTCCGACATTCTGAACGATAAATATCCACCGCGTACCAAACATCTTCTTATAATCCTCGTTCTCTGCTGCGCTGTTCATCTCAGGCATCTGGAAAAAAACAGGGAATTCAAAACACGAACAAGGAACATTAAAGTGGGTTTTTGGAAGCTTCATTGAATGTGAAATTGAATATCAATTTAATAGATCACTTTTGACAATTAATTTCTACTTATTCAAATTTCTTTTATTTTAACTACATATTTAGACACTAGAATTTACAAATGATAAGCGAGGGACCATTTTGTCTTCTGAAAATATATTAAAAACCAAGAATTATTCACAAAATTTTTTTTTGTGATTTTTCAGTTTGGAATCCATCCACAACTATTAATTTTCATGACAGAAGCAACATTTCACACAAATGATTATCATATAGGTGACTAATTAATTGTGATGATCGAGATATATTTGTGAGTAAAAGCAGGTCATGAAACTCATGGATATTTTAAGTTTATAAATAAATGCTGATTTACAGTATTTTAGTTTAGATTAGGCTGTTTAAATTTAATTCTACGTTTAACGTCACATCTAAAGTTCAAAACCTACGAGGGAGGGAGGAAAAAAATAAACAAACAAAATTTTCAAACAATTGTGAATTTATTCAAATTAACCAATTCAGTACATTAAAAACATTACAATTAAGTAATATTTTCCTTAGTATGTAAATCAGTTTGAGTCCTATTGTTAGCAAACAATGTAGTCTAAGACTGAATGTGCAGGAAAGTGGCTTTTAACTAGGCCTCAGTTGTCCTTTGGATTTATATTGCCACACGTCCATGGTACCCTGGAGGCAAATGCTTCTTCTTGTGGGAAAAGTTGATCAATATCTACAATCAAAATTATTGATGACAATATTTAAAAGTGTTCATGAAATATCCTCAAATTGAATTATGTCGTATTTTTTCTTAGTACTAGATCTACTAGCATTAAGTTTTGAAAGTGTGAATACTAATATTTGGACCATACTGATAGCTGTTAGATTATCTTTAATACCTTGAATTCCACACAAAAGACAGGATTCTTCACATCTTGGAATACCCCAACCACTTTCCTTACTCTCCTTCACTTGAAAGGCCCTATCTTCGGTAAGCTTCTCCCTGCTCAAATGGTTATGACAAGTATATTATCTTTCCCAAAAATTGTAGCTCTATTTGTAGGTACATAAATTATGAAGAAATCAATTACTTTACTCATTACTGTTCCTTTCGATTTTTACAGAAATATTTTTAATATGAAACATATTAGTAAGATTTAAATGATGCTTTTCACTGTATATAAATCTTGGTTTTTGACACAGTTTCCACTCAGTAAAAAAAGTTTTTCGATTCTCTCCAAAATACAATGAAAAGTTCAGCCAATAGAATCACGAACTGAGAGTCTGTCACTGTCAGTCTGTACATATGATTCGAAGACTGACAAAAAAAAATCAACAAACAAGACTTTGTCATTAATATAATCATAAAATAATCTATTTTTTACTTACATTTATGGTCCCAAACTCTTTAATTCTCTAGTTTTCATTAATAAGACACCAACTGCCTTAACTGCGGCTATCAAAGCACATTTTCTGTCACTACGGGAAGCAGAATTCAGTCGTTAATTGAAGAACCAAACCGGAACGGACATACGGAATTCCGAATTGTTTGTTTTTTTCAAAGACGAATTTCTCATAAACCTACGCGCGCGGGTGACGTTAAACGTAGTTTTAATTTTAAACAGCCTTATGGGTATACCCATACCATGTCTACTAATGATATGTATAGGAACATTCCCCCGGCGATGGCGAAGATCCAGGTGTGAGCCGTGGTGTTAGCACCAAGAATTGTACCCAGTATCAGTCCAAGGTAACACGTACAGGCAGACAGGAAGTTATATATCAACGCCTTCTTCACGGACATCCCAGAATTCAACAGGATAGCAAAGTCACCTAGAAAATAGGAACAAAGGCTACAGGAGCTCTAAATGAATCAAGATTACAAAGTGTAAAGAAGTTTATACTGTGCCAAAAGTCTGAATTGTACATTTATAGAAATAAAATCTTTCTGTAGTAGAATATCAGCATCTCCAACACTGATATCTCAAATTCTATTGATATGCTATAAAAGTCAATTGGAAAATTTAAACTCGAAACAAGTACCTTGATCCTTGGATAACTTGAAGACTCTTCTTGGCCCCATCGAGTTTGAGATATCATAGTTTAAATGTATTTAAAATGAGGTATTAAAAAAAGTTCTTACCTAGTTCATGTGGCAGTTCTTCACATATAACAGCCAGTGATATACTCATCCCCGCGAAGATACTGTCTGTGAAGGCTGCCCCGATCGACAGACCGTCCAGAAAGTTGTGAAGCGCGTCTCCGAAGATGATCATCCACGCGATCGTCCGGATCTCCGATTTCTGCTGAGGATTTATGACAGGGTCATCTTCACTGGAACTCGAGGAATTACCATTCTTCACCTTTTTAAAGTCCTATGATTTAAAATTCAATATTTTAGCTGCACTGATATTGTACACAGTTTTCATTAAGTTATTATACTAATTACAAATAACAAACTGAAAACCAGATACCCTTGCTTTGATGTACATTTAGATTAATTTAAGCAGTGTCCAGATTGCCCTGGGAGAGTTGACAGACAGATACACAGACAGACAAAATAGCTTTTCTCTGGATAGTGTACATAGAGTATCCTGGTTGCCCTAGTAGAGTTGTCTTACAGACAGCTAGACAGACATACAAACTCACCTCTTCCCTGGACAGTGTACACAGAGTATCCTGGCTGCCCTGGTAGAAGCTGGCCTTTAACGCCTGTTGAGACTCTGGGGTGTGTTTTAGGGACTCGGGGTGGAGCGTTGACGTGTCGCTACACTTCTGTCGCTCTGTCGTCGGCGTTTTGGCCACCACACTCCCTCTGTTGGTAACAGAGTAAGAGTCATCTTTGGAGTTCTCTTTATTTTTCTAGACCAAAGAAAAGAGTAGCATGGACATTAAGGATTGATCAAGGACAGATGAAGATTCTAGTAACCATGGTAGCCTGAATTAATTGCTCACACATTACAGTTTTCTTCAGAATAACACAAGATGCTAATGAAATACTGCAATCAATATCATTAATAGAAGTGTTTGAAAAAATTTCTTGCATGTCCTTCCGTTTACTACTTTTAGAACTGAACCACCTCCCCCCCCCCCCCCCCCCCCCCCCCCTCCCCACCCAAACACACACACTATTTTCTTGTCTCTGTAGTCTTAAAAGCCTGCATGCATATAGATTGTGCATCCCCATGTATTTCAAATATTTCTATTGAGCTTTGGATGATCGAATTAAGACTTACATGTTTCATGTTCAAGGTCTACTATGAAGTCAGCAAAATATTTAAATTTTGAAATTTCCTTGAATGAAAATTAAAGTTTTTTCCCTACTAATTCATTTTTCTTAGTACAAATCTAAACAAATAGAATTAAATGTTTAGTAAAGTTTCTCTCCATAATGCCTAACAAATGATTAAGCCAAGTACATTTTGGCAATTGTGCTTTTTAAACTGAAACAGGTCAAACAATTTTACACAGTTTTCCTTGAAATGCATTGACCCCAGCTTCCAGGTTGATGTCCTCATAAACAGTTCATTTATCACAAGAAATTAAAATATTTCTACCTATCAGGTCCAGACAACAATGACCTGAAGCTTTGTTCTGAAATATCACAGCCTAACGCTCACATAATAAATTAAAAAGAACATAAATTAAGGTCCTATGAGGACAATCGTGCAGATGTACAGATATTTATGTTGCCTTTTGTTGGCCTTGTGCCATGACTACAGTGTTTTCCCTTTATTTCAAAATTAAAGGTTAGGGGTCAGTTATAACAGGCTAGGGCTGAGGTTAATGTACAAATTTTCAGTAGACCTTATAGCAATTTAATTTAGCACCTAACAAATACTGTACATTTACTTCTTCTTTCTGTCATTTAATGTTTTAATTTTTCCTGAAAGATATACATTGTCCATGTTTGTATGCATTAAAATAGATGAAAAATTTCTTTCTTAGATAATTTGCTTCAAATACTAAGTACATTAAGCATTGCCATTTAAAATTCCATCACACCGCCCAAAATTTGCAAATTTAAGGACGACCTTCATTTATGTCAGTTTGTGTATTGATTAAAAAGGAAGTAGAAAATATTGTGTGCTAAAGGTATGCAGAAATTGCTATACTTGAAAAGCATTGCTATTTACCAGCATGTTCTGAACAGATTGCAGATATATAGGCACAATGTATTTAAAGCTATGGATGGTAGTCCATAATAGCCCTGTGGGAAATTACAGCTATGTATTATAACAAATAATCAAAATTAATATGTAACAGGTGATATTATACAGAAGTTTTAGGAGAATGTAGATTTTAAAAATTAAAATTAAAAAAAGATGAACTTTTCTAAAAACATTTTAGTTAATGATTAAAACAACATGATCGATGCACACTAGTCTTGATGAATTACAGGTAATTACAATGCAAACATCATCTGGTCATATTGGATAGCTAGGTTACAGAAGGGGACAAACTTGGTACATTTATTTTACAGCAGGGATTGACAGATTGTCATGCAGAATATAGACAGTTTGACTTTGATGCACTGTAACCTTTCATCATGCACATTTTTAATGATACATGTAACTTGGTGAATAACATTCTTTAACATATATGATAAAAGCCTTTAAAATTAACGGCAGGATAGCATATATTACTAAGCATTTACGTTTATAGCCATTTAATAAAAGCATAGTTGGTTTGGTTTGCCTCCAGAAAAATGATTTCATTTCATAACAAGAGGCCCAAGGGCCTTAAATCGCTCTTCTGATAAATTGTACAATCTATCACTTCTATTAGAAGCCTCCAACTCTATTAGAATCATAAGACCCAAAATGCATCAACTTACAAAGTTTGATAATATTTAGCCAGTAAAGACATTATAAGATATTATAATATAATCATAAAATACCATAAGTAGGTCACAGTGACCTACCTTTTGATTGAAATTTTCTGAGGACTCAAGATACATTAATTGACAAAGACTGATGATTCTAATTAAATAAGTACCTGAGATATTCAAAAGTAGGTCACCATGACCTACTTTTTGGTCAACATTCTCTGAAAACCCAAGATGCATCATCTGACAAAGTTTGACGATTCTAAGCCAATTAGTACCAGAGATAATTAAATATAGCCATCAAATGTCAAAAGTAGATCTCAGTGACCTACTTTTTGGTCGACGTTAGTCAAAAACCCATAATGCCTAAATTGACAAAATTTGATGATTCTAAGCCAATAAGTACCTGAGATATTCAAAATTAGGTCACCGTGACCTACTTCTTGTTGGACGTTCAATGAAACCCTAAGATGCCTCAACTGACAAAGTTTGATAATTCCGAGCCAATAAGTACCAGATATAATTAAATATAGCCATAAAATGTCAAAAGTAGGTCACAGTGACCTACTTTTTGGTCGACGTTCTCCGAAAACCCAAGGTGCCTAATCTGACAAAGATGGATGATTCTAAGCTTATACGTACCTGAGATATTCAAAAGTAGGTCACTGTGGCCTATTTTTTGGTCGACATTCTCTGAAAACCCAAGATGCCTCAACTGACAAAGTTTGATGATTCTTAGCCAATAAGTGCCTGAGATACTTAAATATAGCCATAAAATGTCAAAAGTAGGTCACTGTGACCTACTTTTTGGTTGACGTTCTCCAAAAACCCAAGATGCATCAACTGACAAAGTTTGATGATTTTAGGTCAATAAGTACCAGAGATACTTAATTATAGTCACAAAATGTCAAAAGTAGGTCACCATGACCTACTTTTTGGTCGTCACTCTCCAAAAACCCAAGATGCATCAACTCACAAAGTTTGATGATTCTAAGCCAATAAATACCGGAGATACTTAAATAAAGCCATAAAATGTCAAAAGTAGGTCACCGTGACCTACTTTTAGGTCGTCACTCTCCGAAAACCAAATATGCATGGACTCACAAAGTTTGATGATTCTAAGCCAATAAATACCTAAGATACTTAAATATAGCCATAAAATGTCGAAAGTAGGTCATCGTGACCTACATTTTGGTCGACATTTTTCAGAGACCCAAGATGCATCTACTGACCAAGTTTGATGATCGTAGGTCTGAAGGTAATCAAAATATGCGTTTTCAACAATTTGAAAACAAAATTCAAAAAGTAGGTCACAGTGACCTACTTTTTCATAAATATGTCTTAAGGTCCCAAGATGCATCAAAATACAAGATTTGATGATTCTAAACCTCCCAGTGTCTGAAATAATGGGATTTAATGTTTTTAAAAGGATAAGTCATAAAGTTCAACAAGAGGCCCAGGGGCCACAGCGCTCACCTGAGCACATCAGGCTTGAATTTACTCCACCCCCCCTCTCCAGGCGTTCATCATTTGAACAAACTAGAATCTACACTACCTGAGGATGATTCCATATAAATATCACAAGTCATAGCTTTGAAGTACTCGAAAAGAAGATTTTAAAAGGTTTCCCTATATATCCCTATGTAAAACTTGGGTCGGCCATTTTGGCACCACCCTTGCCCCAGGGGTCATGATTTGAACAAACTTGAATCTACACTACCTGAGGATGATTCCACATGAGTTTCATCTCTCCTGGCCCAGTGGTTCTTGAGAAGAAGATTTTTAAAGACTTTTCCTATATATTCCTATGTAAAACTTGGGTCGGCCATTTTGGCCCCACCCTTGCCCCAGGGGTCATGATTTGCACAAACTTGAATCTACACTACCTGAGGATGATTCCACATGAGTTTCATCTTTCCTGTCCTAGTGGTTCTTGAGATAAAGATTTTTCTTATATATTCCTATGTAAAACTAGGGTCGGCCATTTTGGCACCACCCTTGCCCCAGGGGTCATGATTTGAACAAACTTGAATCTACACTACCTGAGGATGCTTCCACATGAGTTTCATCTTTCCTGGTCCAGTGGTTCTGGAGAAGAAGATTTTTAAAGATTTTTCCTACATATTCCTATGTAAAACTTGGGTCAGCCATTTTGGCCCCACCTTTGCCCCGGGGGTCATGATTTGAACAAACTTAAATCTGCTCTACCTGAGGATGATTCCACATGAGTTTCACCTTTCCTGGCCCAGTGGTTCTGGAGAAAAAGATTTTTAAAGATTTTTCCTATATATTCCTATGTAAAACTTGGGTCGGCCATTTTGGCCCCACCTTTGCCCCGGGGGTCATGATTTGTAAAAACTTGAATCTACACTACCTGAGGATGCTTCCACATGAGTTTGATCTTTCCTGGCCCAGCGGTTCTGGAGAAGAAGATTTTTTAAAAATGCCATAAATTTTTCACAAATTCATAATTATCTCCCCTTGGAAGGGGGCGTGGCCCTTCATTTGAACAAACTTGATTCCCCTTCACCCAAGGATACTTTGTGCCAAGTTTGGTTGAAATTGGCCCAGTGGTTCTTGAGAAGAAGATGAAAATGTGAAAAGTTTACGCCGACGCCGACGACGACAACGACGACGACGACGACGACAGACAACGGACAAATTTTGATCAGAAAAGCTCACTTGAGCCTTCGGCTCAGGTGAGCTAAAAAGTAGGTCACAGTGACCTACTTTTAAGCTGATATTGTTTGAGGACCCAAGATGCATCAACTGACAAAGTTTGATGATCGTAGGCCTTAAAGTGTCCAAAATATGCCTTCAAATCAATTTGAAAACAAATCCCCGCAAAATTTAAAAAGTAGGTCACCGTGACCTACTTTTGAGTTAACATGATGTGAAGTCATCAACTTACAAGAATTGATGATCCTAGTCCTTATAGTAAGCAAAACACACACGTTTTTATTAATTGTAAATTTAGGTCAACTTTGAAGTGACCTTGAGACCACGCCCTTTGCCCCAGGGTAATTCCCTGTGCAAATTTCAATCTTCAACATATCCTGATCCTTGTATGTAAGTTTGGTGAAAATCTGCCTGGTGGTTATGGAGAAAGAAGATTTTTTAGCAACCAGTACTTTGGGTTTTGTTTTCCTGATTATCTCCCCTTGTTTAAGGGTCCCAACCCTTATTTTAGTATAAATGGTAGCCCTTGGGCCAAGGATACCCTGTGACAAATTTGGTACTGATTGGCCAAGGGGTTCTTGAGTTATGGCCCATATTCTAAAAAGTTTACGCACACCGCACAAATGGCCATAGCATTAGCTCTTTGAGCCTTTGGCTCAGAAGAGCTAAAAAGTTAGACCTATTGAAAGTACATGTAGTTACCAGGGTATAACAAACATTAACAAATACTGTAATGTATTATATTTGGCATGAACCATATTTGGGAAAAATTGATTTTTCAACAAGATTAAGTAAATTTGATTTAGTGCTATCTGAATGTGCTAGATATAACATATGATGAACAACACATTAAGCAGTGAACTTTATTTAGCATTTTCTGCTTTCTGCAAAAATCGCTAAATAAAATACACAGCTAAATGTAATATATGTACAGTAACAGGCCTGGGTCATACTGCATTGTTAAGTCTGCACTCATCCAACAAAGGAGTCTAAATGTCTATGTATTCTTTATCATATTATAGTTAACTTCACATAATCTCAAAAAACTGCTATTTACATGTTTTACAAGAAAACTGCCTCGATTTTACTAGGGGTGAAACGATACGCCTCCTTCACGGTTCGATACGTATCGTAAAATATGGTCTCGGTTCGGTTATTTTCGATACGATACATTTTAATAGAAGGAAACATATTTAACTGTTGTTTTATGCTATCTTTAACTTATCTAGTCAACAAAAATATATGTAGAATGGATATAATAAATAGACTTAATTGATTTGTCTATTAAAAATTATTTTACAAACTTTAAGTCCACAAAAATTTACGTTTTTGATATAATTATACAGAGAAGCATGTTTATACCTTATGCCAAACCCGACTGAATGACGATCCCGACCAAAAAAGGAACCGAACCGAAAGTAGAGATTTTGTACCGTGTATCAAACCGAGAAAAAATACCGCGGTGAACCGATACCGCGGTGAACCGTTTCACTCCTAGATTTTACCTGGTCTATAAACGGTGCCTGAACCTCCACACAGTCTTCATTAGCTTCCAGATATAGGCTAGCTCTACGCGGACTTTTCTGTTGAAATTGAACAAAGGTACAAGGAACAAATGCACAAAGCCATGCAGAAACATGCAGTGTAATACAGTATAAGTGGAAATATTAGAGAGATGCAAATTTAGCAATGCGTCCTTAAAAATGGTAATTTATTTTTAGCGAGATGTTATTCTAGCAATTTTAAAATGCATACTAAAGAAGCTATTACTAATAGCTCATACAATAGAAACAGATAGGTCCATATACAAATACACAATCATATTGACTCAAAATCACATAATTCAAAAAATAAAACAACAAGATGTGTTTGTGAAACACTATGAGCCTGGCGGCAACAAAGTTCAAAAAAAATATTTTTAGCAGATAAGTCACAGTCAAGGTCATTAGGTCATTGACCTTGGTGTCATTTACAAGAACTTAATTAGCGAAGTAAGCATACCAAATATGATATGAAGTCTCTATCTCTCATGGTTCAAAAGTTATGGTGAAAGTTATAAAAAGCTATTTTTAGCAAATAGGTCAGTCAAAGTCACATGGTCATAAGCTTGGTGTCATTTGAAAGAGCTTCACTGGTGGAGTATGCATACCAAATATGAAGTCTCGATCTCTCATGGTTCAAAAGTTATGGCGAAGGTTAAAGTTGACAACAGACAGACAGACAAACAGATAATCAGACAAACAGACAAGACAAAATAGTCTGGTCCGATTTATAGAAAAAAATACTTCTAACGGCAAATAATTATTATTTGGTCCAGCATAGTTTTTTGACCTAATTCGAGTATGCTGAATCCGAAAAAATATGCTGGCCTTCATGAAAATGGCGTTAAAGAGGTCAAAATGGCGATTCAAAATGGCGGACATCCAATTTTTCTAATTTTCTCTTCATATCGTTCAAAATGGAGAAATAATCTGTAAATATCTCACTGAGTGTAATACAACTATAAAAATGATAAAAGAATGCTAACATTATTAGTTTAACTCAGAAAATTTAGTCATTTCTACACTTAATTCGAATTTTCTCTGATTAATTTGTCTATTGTTTCTATATTCTGCTTTGTTCAGGATTTTACATTTGCAAATATCCATACACTGCAGATTTGTATTTTTTCCTCTACATCTCCCTATTCTACAATTGAATGGTGATGCAGCTGTAAGTTAAAAGTCAAAATGGTGATTCAAAATGGCGGATATTCATTTTTTTTTTCAAATTAATGTCGTTTACATAGGAGAAAGGTTTTGTGAATATCTTACTGAGCGTAGTACAGCTATGTAAAATGACAATAGAATCGCTTTAATTCGGAAAATTAAGTCGTTTAAATTTGAAATGTGTTAAGAAACTCAAAATGGCGATTCAAAATGACGTCATATACACTAAAATTTCGTAAAATATATACTCAAACTGCTTATTTCTGAGTCGTTTTGCAGAAAATAAATTACAGTTTGTTTTTCTACCCCCGTTTGACAAGCGGGAGGGTATACAGTAATCTTCAACAGACGTCCGTTCGTCTGTTACGCTTTTAGGTACCCATCTCTTATCCGCAACTCCTCTCATACCAATGAACGAAATTTGATGAAACTTTTCACAAAATCGTTATTACATATTGCCATTGCGACCTCCTATTTTACTTTTTGATCCGACACATATTTTGGGTTTCCCATAGCAAAATATGGACACTGTCATTATATTCATATGGGAGGCGGGGTTATCATTTAGTGAACTCATTGCTCATAGTACCTCTAGTTTTATATATAGTATATTGATTAATCCATTTAATATGAACAAACAAAAAATACTAGAAAAGTTTCATTTTTTCTTGAAATCGTTAAAACAAACTCGACTTAAGGGCTTCCAAATTTCCCCCTCGTATTTGACAGTGTTTTAAAGCCTTCCAGCCCCCGTCCAACTAAAATCACTCCTTAATCGCTGTCAATATCAACTCGCACTTCTACTTCAACATCCCTCAGCACACCATCAAATGTAACTGAAGAAATTCTTGTACGTTTAATCGAACACTTTGTAATAGCTTTTGAAATTAGCACTTATAAGAGCTTAGTATTATCCCCTAACATCTTCTTTTCCAGCTTTATTTGCTATATTTTTCAGTCTGTCTTCGGAATTTTGGTATTTTCCAACACTCAAGGAACAACAAATTTGTGTTCAAATGTTAAAAAAATATTTTGTTTTCCAAAACCTTATGCAAAATGAACTAGAGGTAATGTGAGCAATGAGCTCATTAAATGATACCCCCGCCTCCCATATGAATATAATGACAGTGTCCATGTTATGCTATGGGAAAAAGTAAAATAGGAGGTGCACAATTGCAAAATGTAATAAAGATTCTGTGAAAGCATCATCAAATTTCATTCAGTGGTATGAGAGGAGTTGCGGATTAGAGATGGGTAACAGGCAGACGGACCGATTACTACATCCTCCCGCTTTTCAAGCGGGTGTATAAAAAAATCTCTGATATTCAAGACATGTAGCTTTCTATTTTGTGAACGTATAGATTTGTTGTCTTTTTGGGTAGGAAGGTCATTCTATAAGCAAGAAAATTCTCAAACTTTATCATCTGGAATCACATTGTGTGCATGTTTTGGTGAGAAAAGTTGACAAGTATGTAATTTAAGAGCGCCTGCAGATTCCTCGTGATTCCTATCACGTACAAGCTTTCGTACCAAGGGTTAAGCCATTCTTGACTTCGATATATTCAAGACTTCTCTTAACAACAAAATTTTCTTGAACACTCCAAGAACTTTACAAGGCAATTTGATCCACACTTCTTTGTTAGGATAGTGTAAGGTTGGATCAAGAATCGAGGAGGGATTGAACACAAACATTTTCCTCTTTCAGATTTTGTAAATTTCAAAATTTAAATACACTGTTCAATAGAAGATTATCCGTTCACAACATGAAATATCTGTGAATAATGTTGAATTTCTGACTGAGAATAACAAAATACAAATGCAGGGACACAGAATCAGAGCTGGACAATCAAGAACATTTATGGTTTATGTATATTAAACTGATAATTCTCAATAGATATGTTTATATTTGGATATTATGATATATTCAGATTTATATGATGTAACAATTACTAGCCCTCAAATTAGCCGTGGTCCATTATTTAAAAAATCATACTAAGTTATGTTGCACTAGAACTTCCACATGAACATACACATTTATTTTTTTCTTCTACACTGGACTAAAAATAGATTAAGAATTTCTAACAGCTGATATATGATTTAGCAAACCTTGAACTACAATTATGTTTACTCGCCTTAATGCTCAGGGAATACTTTTCTTGGGGTAGGTTAATTGTCACATTGTCCTCTAAACAGCAATTATTATTTGATATTATTAACTTTTTATGTGAAGAAGCATGGTGAGACAGGTAATAATTAAAATGTCTTCGGAATTGTCGTCAAAAGTTTATCTTGATACTAGTAATAGAAATAGTTATACAAAAATCCGTGTTATAAAAATCATAAGTCATTAACAAAAATATCCTCCAACTTTTATCGCCTATTTGAACATTATTTCATAGAGAAAAAAACAAACTGTAATTCATTTTCTGCAAAACAACTCAGAACTAGAGGTACTGTGAGCAATGAGCTCACTAAATGATACCCCCCGCCTCCCATATGAATATAATGGCAGTGTCCATGTTTTGCTCTGGAAAATCAGAAATATATGTCAGATCAAAAAGTAAAATAGGAGGTGCACAATGTAATAAAGATTCTGTGAAAGTTTCATTAAATTTCCTTCAGTGGTATGAGAGGAGTTGCGGATAAGAGATGGGTACCCGAAAGCGTACCAGATGGACGGACAGACGGACGGACGTACAGACGGACGGACGGAAATACCGATTACTATATACCCTCCCACTTTTCAAGCGGGGGGTATAATTATGCAGTTTGGGTATTTTACGAAATTTGAGTGTATATGACGTCATTTTGAATCGCCATTTTGAGTTTATTAACACATTTCAAATTTAAACGACTAAATTTTCCGAATTAAAGTGATATTTAATAAGTGTTCTATTGTCATTTTACATAGTTGTACTACGCTCAGTAAGATATTCACAAATCCTTTCTCCTATGTAAACGACATTAAGAAATAATTTGGAAAAAAGTGAATATCCGCCATTTTGAATCGCCATTTTGGCTTTTAACTTACAGCTGCACCATCACTAAATTGTAGAATAGTGAGATGCAGAGGAAAATTACAGATCTGTAGTGTATGGATATTTGCAAATGTAAAATCCCGAACAAAGCAGAATATAGAACAATAGACAAATAAATCAGAGAAAATTCGAATTAAGTGTAGAAATGACTAAATTTTCTGAGTTAAACTAAAAATGTTAGCATTCTATTATCATTTTTATAGTTGTATTACACTCAGTGAGATATTTACAGATTATTTCTCCATTTTGAACGATATGAAGAGAAAATTAGAAAAATTGGATGTCTGCCATTTTGAATCACCATTTTGACCTCTTTAACGCCATTTTCATGAAGGCCAGCATATTTTTTCGGATTCAGCATGCTCGAATTAGGTTAAAAATCTATGCTGGACCAAATAATAATTATTTGCCATTAGAAGTTATTTCTAGCCTTCTTTTTAAAAATCAGGACCAGACTAAAAACAATATACGCCTCGGATCTATCGATCCGGGTGCATAAAAAAGAAAAAATGCTGTAAATCCCAAAACCAAATATAATTGAAGTTGAATAATTTGGAATCAGCAATGCAAGGTTCCAGATTCATATGATTCATGTAAAAAAAATGTCTTAGTGCCTCAACTCTTTCAACACTGAGTAACTTTTATCAACCAACCCCTGGTACACTGAGTAACTTTGGGCATCATTAAACATTTCACCTTCCGCCACAAAAAATACTATTACTTCTTTATTTCTTTGAATATTTTAATAACTGACACATCATTAGAAAGGTGAGGCATTTCTCTTTTAAATGATATAAATTTTATATATATACAAAATTATTTATCAAGTCAAAAACACTAATAAAATTCATAATTACATTTTATAACGGATCTTATGCAATAATTTAATAAATTTGCTGCTATGAAGTTTCAAAATCAGTTATGTTCTTACCATCGTTCAAAAGAGAAATTATTTCCGAGTAAAATGATATGCAATATGTCTGAATTTATTTAAAAGTAAGTCCATAATTATTAATAAATAATTCCAATCTTCATTTTATCTATTGATTTCCTGTGTTTTGATTGGACGAGAACACATTCCAGAAAATTTTTACACATCGATAAATTCTTTCAATCAGAACTACTTTCTTGATGACACTACTAGGTTATCGTATAAACAATGAAAGCAGTTATTTCTGGCTAAATAATGAATACAAGGAACTTTAAATTTAATTAGGGCTTAAACAAAACTGGCAACATACTAGACTGCCTAACTGATGGACGCCGTGAAAATGTTTATGTCACTGTCCGATCACGAGTGTGAATTTTAAAAATCGCTGTCTCAACGTTCATACGTAGAAAATAAGCTCAGTCTGTATCGTTTTGACAAGGAAAAGAAACGTACCTCAAACTCTTGCCCTATTAGCATCAAATTCATATTTACTTTCTATATTGTTCCTCAATATTTGAATAAACAAGTGCAAATTGAAGGCGTCGTCGGTCTGCAACTTTCAATATGGGAGTTGTTGTTTATGTCAACATGGCCATGGTCAAAGACGAACTATTCTGAAGTAAACTCGTAATTACGATATTTGTTGACTTAAACAACATTCGATTAGTTGTTATAAGTTTATTTATCGATTGTTTTGACAATTTAAGTTGAACTCTATCGAAATTCATCTGGATTACGTTCCTTTACGGTAAAATGTATTCCTACGCCGTCCAGAAATAACGGATTATATGGAGGCCTCAAAGAGAAATAATTTAAATATTTTTAAAAATTCGATATTGGAATTATAAGAATTAAACGTTCTTTTTGAAAAATTTATCGATGTGTAAACTCTTGACATTTTACTCACAAACTTAACATAAAAGTGCTTCGCACTTTTATTTAGTTTGTGAGTAAAATGTCAAGAGTTTACACATCGATAAATTTTTCAAAAAGAACGTTTAATCCTATAATAAAACGGGGTGTGTCAGGACATCGGAAGAAGTCTGGGGCGTGGAAAACATCCTCTATTTAGGAGCCTTGATATTCCGATTCCGAGTCAACTTTCTCCGACAAGATTTCACAACATTGTTAAGAGCCATTCTCTGTAATGATTTGAAATTTTATATAGGAGCTGTGGCACGCATAGTCTCAGAATTTCTCCAAACTCTCTATGATAAAAGTCATTGATACCCTAAACTGAAATCAGGCAAAAATTGGTTGCTATGTTCTATAGTTACCATGGAAAAGTTCGAAAAATGGCATTTTTTAACATGTTTAGAGCCCCATAGTTAACATTTGCGGCAAAGCAAACAATTGGCAATAATAATCAATTTTAAAAGATGTTGGTGTGCTCCTAGTTTTCCCATTTGAAAAATTCGGATTAGATTCTTTAAATAGAGCATTGCTATGGAAATAAGCAGAAAATATATGCTTAAAAACCTGAAAAATATTTTCTTTCCTTGGATACGTACCCTTAAATGTAGATTCCCAAAACTTTTATGATTGATATTTATTAACAGCTAACTTGACTTTTAATTTTGTCTATCATCCAATCTCTAAGTGGATGCAAGAAGTTGGCACACAGGGTTTAATATTGATATAAAGTTCACAAAATCGAACATTTTCCCTTCTTGGTAACCATAGCAACAGTGTTGTTTTCTTCATCAAATTTTATCAATATATGATATTCAACTACACTTCTAACAGATAAGTACTATTTAAGCTGAGTCCTTTAATTTGTTTCTTGATTATATGGCAATTTAATTCATAATGCAGCGAAAAATAATCCACTTTTTAGCACTAGTACTTTGTTTCCATGGTAACACTGCAAAGTAGCAATTATACCCAATTTTTCTGATGGTTTTGGTGTTGCAAGGTCCTAAGGATGCATATTTGCCAGTCTTGAATTTTCATGTTTTTCCTCAAGAAAGTAGCATTAACCCAATCTTAGTTACTGGTTTTGCATGGTTACACTGTGTTACCATGGCAACCATAAAAGTTATTTATAGAATAATATTGCTTATACTTATATACTTAAGGTAAAACATTTTCATTGTTTTTCTTAAGTCGTTGATTGAGTTTGAGCATGTAACACCTACCATTAGTGAATACGGAGTGTTTTTCAGCATATTTCAGCATTTTAAATGTATTCCAAATGTACCCCTGGTTACCACTTACTTAGAGATATATTCTAAACAGTTTCTTTACAGTATAAGTGACATCAAGGTGTCATGTTTTTGTGAGAATGGTTTGTTTGCTTTTTCGAGTTTTTATTAAGCCACAGTCAAGATTTAAAGTGGCTGAAAATCTCGATTTTTCAAACTTTTCCGGCTGTTGCCATAGCAACCGAGACACTAAGCAACCAAATTTTGTTTGATATTTGTTTCTGGTGTCAAGTACGAAGCATGTGTGAAGTTTCATCAAAATCAGTGACCATGCGTGGCAACAAAGTTTAAGTGGTTACAGAGAATGGCTATTAATAACTCATATTTTTGTTGTCTAGAAACATCTATAAAGTCTAATTCCCTGATTTTATTAAATCTTTCATCGCCAGAAAGATCGGACATTTCGTTGTTTACCGCCATTTTGCTTTCTTCTTCGATTTCTTTACTAATCATCTAATTTTCCTTATTTTTTCGTGGTTTTCGCCATGTGGTCCGCCATATTTGTTAACAGATGTTTACATCATTCTACCCATAATTCATAGCGAAAGATTTTGCGCAGAGAACACTTTCTATTTCTAAGAATAAACGATTTACTTTCAGTTTAGTGTCTGAGACCGATGTATCGGTCTACCGTGTTCCAAGACAAAATTTTATCAGACCGATGTATCGGTCTACAGTGTTGAAAGGGTTAACAGTAACCTGTGTGTCAGGATTAAACATATAAGTACAGTGTATTCAAACACTGAACTATTTGGAATCTAACCCACATAAGGATGCTAATCAACCTAACTGGAATGTGTTCTCTGTAAGTATCGAGTATATTGATTGATTGATTGTGTATTGTTTAATGTCCCTCTCGAGAATTTTTCACTCATATGGAGACGTCACCGTATGCCGGTGAAGGGCTTCAAATTTTGACCTTTACTCGGCACTCAGGGCTATCGAGCAGTGAGGGATCTTTATCGTGCCAACGCCTGCAGCTGACACGGGGCCTCGGTTTTTAAGGTCTCATCCGAAGGACCCGCAACTTTCACTTCAAAGTGCCAAGCGCATGGAGAAGGAACAGTATCTACCCATTTTAACGACTAGGTCAGTCGCAGCCGAGATACGAACTCATGACCTCCCGATCACGGAGCTAGCGCTCTACCGACTGAGCAACCGTGAACGGTAGTATCGAGTATAAAATGTTAATAATGTCATTCTTGACATCACCTTCACCCTACTCAAGATCTGCGGGACAAGGTTCAAACAAATTGTTCATTATACATGCATGTTTTGTCATATCTGGTTCAGTTGTTCTTCAGAACATTTTTATGTAACCCTACATTTGTTTCTGTGTTTATATACACTTCTTATGCACACATTTCTAGGATTAATGAATCATAATATTTTATTTAACATAAAACTGAGATATGCTTATGATTTATGAACAGATCCTGTGATGAGCTATATTATAAGAGAGTGTTGTCTGTAATAAACACTATCGTGTATGTGTGTCATGCCCCTGTGTTGTCTAACTGTCATTCTGTACATTCATTATAACTTGATATACAACGTCTGTAATGTTTTGTCATTAGTACTGAGTACATAATAGTATATAATAATGTTCCATCACTATCGGTAATCAACAGTTGCTTGGTAGAATATCATTAGAAGCCCTGATCATTAATTCATTCAAGACTAAAAAACTGCTTTCTTTTACAAATCAAACAAATAGGATGTTTTATGAAAAATAACATTCGTCTGCAAAGTTAAAAGAATAAAATATGACCAAAATTATTAATAATTTTTATGCATGCTTTAATAAATGAAAATGTCTTGCTGGTATTTACAATTTTTCCAAAACAAGGAAGTAACACATGCTAACATTCTTCTCAACACTGGAAGTTTTGGGGGACATATAAGCTGTTACATCAATACGGTTTTTGTTAAGTGTTTTCTGATCCACATTACACAAAAATAAGAGAGGTATATATCCGTATTCAGAAAACTTCACTGAACCTTTGACAATGTTTCCAAAAGCCTCTGGTGGGACAGTTGCTCTATAGAACTGCTCCACAAAATGTCAGACAGTGAGCTCCGCTGAGCTTCTCACCTATTGCATTCTCAAGTTTTATAAACATCTTACCTTTTTAAAATCTAGGAGTATTTTTAGAATACGTTCAATTAGGAAGAACAGGTACACCCCACCCGCCACGGTTACTGCCTTCCAGAGGTAGTCATGGTTACCATCAGGGTCCTGCAGGAACCCAAATGCCTAAAAAAAAAAACGTATAAATATGGAACAATTTTGGATCATTAAATGATACAAGTCATTTCTTGCCACTGTTCGAACTCTTCTAATCATTATATGTGTATAAAGCACATAACATTGTGTGTGAGGGGGGATGGGGAGAGGTATACCCTAGTCTAGTGGTACATGTACTAGCTAGTTTTTAAACTAGAACTGTACAAACGGGACAAAATACCCCCCGCTGGGTTTTTCAGAAGTAAGTTTTTCCATAATAAAGATATGTATTAAACATGAATTATGAAATTTTTCTTCCAGTGACCTTGAACTTCCCCAAATGACCTTGGGTCAAGGTCATGACACACCCTTGGTTCATGGGCAATCTTTGTGTGAAATGACAACCTACCAAGTTTATCCATAAGAAAGATATGGACCGGACATGAATTATGAATTTTTTCTTCCAGTGACCTTGAACTTCCCCAAATGACCTTGGGTCAAGGTCATGACACACCCTTGGGTCATGGGCAATCTTTGTGTGAAATGAGAACCTACCAAGTTTATCCATAAGAAAGATACGGACCGGACACGAACTATGAAATTTTTCTCTCAGTGACCTTGAACTTTCCCAAATGGCCTTGGGTCAAGGTCATGACACACCCTTAGGTCATGGGCAATCTTTGTGTGGAGTAGTAGATTCTAATGTCCCTCTGTAAGAAAGATATGGACCGAACACGATTGCACAGACAGACGGACAGACAGACAGACGGACAGCTAGACAGACGGACAGACAGGCAGACGGACAAGGTGATTCCTATATACCCCCCCAAACGAATAACTAGGTTAAAATGATTTTCTCCAGAGTTCACTGAATGGGTAATGGCCAAGACATGAACAAGTAGAAAACCTTTGAATTGACCAATATAAGAATCGGGCCGGGCAAACATCTGATAAAAGAATATACAGACATTAGAACCTTTCCTCTGGGGTGGGGACCAGCATGTAAACCTTACCTCTGGGATGAGGACCAGCATTCCACTGCCAGCCAGACTACCCACGGCCAAAGCGACCATAAAAATCAGGATCTTCACATAAAACTTCCTCTTCATGAATGGCAGCACCACGGCCCCCGCCAGGGAACAGATGTTGATGATGGTCACAAACAGAAATCCAAACCCCCAAGCTGGAAAATAAAATGGTTTTTGTTCCGTAATTTTAATGTATATTACACCCAAACCATTTTTTCTTTAATCTATTACCACTAGGTAAAAATCGTATCATCTTTCAAAAAAATTGTTTGTTTACCCTCTCGACCAACTGACAAAAAAAAAGATCGAGCGAAAGAAAGATTTCAAAATATTTTAAAAACAGTTTCTCCCTACCTACAGTACCTAACCTTTTTTTTTTTATCCTAAGTCAGTAAAAGGCAAGTAAACAATTTTTTTTAAAGAAGGATATGGAGATAACGAACAGTATTTAATATCAAAGTTCATAAAACAATACAAATTAGGAGCAGAGCAAACACGGACCTCCAAAACATCAGAGGTGGGATCAGGTGCCATAGAGATTGGAATGAGCATCCCCTGCTGACCGCGGTCACACCTGCCGTGTGCTCCTTGTCATGATCAGGAAATAAAGAAAAAATCTGTCGTCAATTCAGTGTATAAATGATGGACAAACAATTAGTATGAAAAACATCCGTCAGCATTTGACTCAATGATAAATTGTATTTGCTGACAGGGTCATTGTATAGACCATAGAACTTAAACGAGACTGCTGATATTCTTGTTTCATCAACTTCCTTGTCAATAATTTACCTCATTTTAGAAATTGTTCATACGTAGAGCAAGCTCTTGTGTATCGAATCAAATGAGATGTACATGCACAGAAAAACACTGTTTATAGCCAACACGCTTATCACACATTGCTGCTTACAACAAACAGATTTTTAATCCCTGCGACATCAATTTATTATAAACTAAACAGATATTACAAATTGTGCTTAAAACAGAGCAAAATCGCCCGTTCCTAGCACTTCATTATAAACATGACTGTTTTATTACTGTACTTGAAATTCATCCTCAGGACCTATCCATATACTATGGTGCTCACTTTTTCAACTGTTTGTACAAACCAAGTATCAAGGATTTCTAATTATTCTTAATAAATTAATTTTAAAAACTATAACCAATGCAATTAAATGATTTTTTTTCATGTTGTTATTCATTACAGGGCATTTTCAAAATGACTGATGATATTAACGTACTATTTTTGTTTGAGGATACAAAGAATCAGTGTAATTTTGATTACATATTGTTTGATAATCTCTAAATCACTGATGGTTTTCCAGCTTCACTTAAATTTGATGTAAAATTTGGATTAAAGATAAAATCAGATAATTAGGGATGTCAAAATTGTCAATAATTGATATTCGAATATTCGGTAGTAGTATTCGAATATATTCGAATATTCGATAATTAAATAAATACATCTTGCATTATAATATGTATATATCTTCACTCTTTTGTCAAGCAATATACATTTTATGTCATTATTTTGGAATAAAATTTCATGTACAGTTTTGTAAATGCACCATAATTATATTCTTAAAATATTTTACAGAATATAAGAGGTTACATCCAAAATATAATAAAAAAAAATTTCCCCTGAAAATTCAAAAGATTCTTTTAATAAGCTCCAGATTAATTAATCGTCTTACCAAAGTGTACACTGATAACCCCACAGATATATACCACACAGAACAATTATCTAATGGAGAAACATTAAAAGCAAATTACCTTTAGCTAATTAATTTCCTAATAATGATTTTAAATGATGTATACATAAACAAGGGATCAATGTGTGTTATTAAAAATGTGTCCTTTCAACAATACGAACTAATTCTAAGTACTGGACACTGTTATACCTCTAATTAAAAGATCAAATGAATAATCTATATTATTTTAATAAACACACTCTTCACACCTTTAAGGTAATCCAAGAGGAGTTCTTTTAATTTTGCTTTAAATAAAATCTTATTGTTGGTCAATGATACGAATTTGACTCAATTTCTGATAAAGCTTCAGTTTTTGCCAGATTTTTTTTCTTCTTTTTGATGCTTGTATACTTAAAATCCGAATATTCGAAGCATAAATTTATATTCGAATATCAACTCATCGAATGAATATTCGAATATTCGAATATTCGTTGACATCCCTACAGATAATACTAAAAAAGTTCATATTTTCAGCTGAAAAAATGTTAAGTTGATTTAATTACCGTTTAATTTCCTTAAATCTATTTATTATATTTTATTTTCATTTTTAATCTGTGTTTTAATCACTTCAAGAAAATGAATAACATACAAGTAAACCTAAGATGACATGTTATTTTCCTTAAATGTTAATTATATTACCGTATAATCCCTATTAACCGCCCCTAGCTGCCCCTATAAGTGCCCCCTTAGGTATTTTTCAATTGTCAGGAAATAAGGGCCCCCTGTACAGTGATTAAAATTATCTAGAGAGACTAGAATCGTATCAAAAGTCTGCAAAGATTTGAAGGAATTGAAAATGAAACTTGTTTATTATCCAATTTCTTGGTGCATGGAAAATTATTCATTTAGCATACTTTGGGTGTATTATCTTCGTTTAAAGTAAAGTTAGACATTATTTTGGAGATTCTTTGAATTTTTTTTCAAAATACTTTTTGAAGTTAGAATATGATATTAAATATTACAAAAAGAATACCAAAATAACCGCCCCCTTTTCGCAATTTTGTAAGCGCCCGGGATGGTTAAAAAAGGGATTATACGGTAATAATAAAAACTGGCATGTTGGAACTGAAGGAAAAATGTTTTGTTTTCTTAAATGGAAATGTTTTTTTAAAAAGTGGAAATAGATGTATGAAACCCATCAAATTTCTAGACGGAAGCTAACATGGAAGGATGCACCTTTCAAACAGTTCCTGAGAAAATTTAGGTTAACAACTGAACAAAAAACTCTGAATGTCACAAGGTCTGGAATTAATGTCCTGACTTCGCGGTTGACCGGGAGGTTTTTTACGTGGTTGTTGTTCTTGGAGTGATCTTTTAATCTGACCAGGGACATATGTACTTGTGACCTACATCTACTCCATCATAAAATCATGTCCATACAACACCTGTCACTGCTGCTCGAGTTTTTACCTAAGGCCAACTTTAAAAAATTGTTTGGTTCCCCCCTCCAAGCCCACTGACTGAAATTGACCCGGCTCAAAACTTTTTTTTATCCTCAAGGATGCAATTATTTTATATGCATTCTGAAAACAAGAAATAAAAATATAGAATTAAAAAATTTTAAAGAAAATTCTCACCTACCTATCAGTCAATTTTTTTCATTCTGAGTTGGGAGAGTGCAAACAAACATTTATTTTAAACATGGCCTAATGCAACATGTATAAACCTTGTGTGGAAATTCACCAAGCAGAGCGCAACAGATCCTGAAGATTTATACTTACAGAGAAGACAAGTAGATCAAAACAAATGAACAATTATTCCTGCATCGAATTATTTTTTGATTTGACCTCGTCAATAAATTGATCATGGGAACATGACACATTTCTTGTACTCTGCTTTTTGATAAACAATTTTCATAATACAAAATCAATAATAATTATTGAAAAAACAAGAAATATTTCCATATTTATGGGGACCGGTATACTAGAAGTGTTCCCAAGAATGCCCCACCCTGGGTTCATTTGTAATTAATGCAACAAGAAAAACAAATTCTGAAGTCAAATGGGATACGGATGGTTGAGATAAAATAAATTAAATTGAACTGTCAACACAGCTAGCTGATAAATGTTTAAAAAATAATGCATGATTGCACAAGCTTAAAAATTCAAAAGTTTCTTTGTTAACATGGTCAAAGAACATATTGAAAATGATCTGGGACAAATTTGACAAAACTGGGGTCAAGGTCAAAAATGTTAGTCAAGTTGAAAAGCTCTCCTCAAAAAGCATCAGCATATGAAGTTTTTATAATAAAAATATGTTAAATAGTTTCTTTGAAACTTGATTAGCAAAACATAAGGCCTAACTTTCAGAAAAAATGATATCAAGAGAAAAGGAAAATTAATGTCAAAGTCGAAATATGATGAAATGGAATTGCTAGCTCTCAACAAATCTGTTTCAGCAAATGAAACTGAGAAAAATATCTTAAATAGTCATACATGCCAACTTTCCCGATTTAGGCGGGATCCTCCCGATTTTACCCTTTCATCCCGCTCTCCCGATCGGGAAAGAAAAATTGCCCTAATTTCCCGATTTGAAAAAAAAATCACCAAAATTTTTGATTTTAAAAATTTCCCTACCACTGAATTTTGACAATTGGGATGATATGTCAAAACTTGTTTATTCAACGCACACAGATAACATTCATTGTTTATTTAACCAGGTGTTAATTTAATAGCCACAGGAAATCACTTCACGCTTGAACGCACGCAGTTGTCCAGGTACAAGTAGCTTATAGCTTGGGGCAATTAGGGGATTATCTTGTCAGTTTTAAGGAGGCTCATTACACCACTTTTTGATGACGTACTACACAAAAAAATACACCTCCATTGTGTTGACCGGTTTCCTCTGGGGACGAAATGTACAGCTACCTCTATTATATGACCCTGACCTTTAAAATGCTTTAAAAATAGATGAAACATGCGGTGTTATAAACAGTGAAAACAAAGTAACGTTATGGATAAACCAAGAAGAATTGTTTCTAAGCAGAAACAAAAGAAAACAACAGTCAAATCTTCGCCAAACAAGTAATGTCAATTTCATAGCGATGCATGCAGTGAGCTCTATCAATCAATGACATGTTTGTATGGAGGAAATTCGAGTTAAAATCTACAGCCTTGTTGAAATTAAAAAAAAATATTTACTTGCACTATTTACTGTGTTGGTGTTCATGTATATATTTGCTTTATTGATTTAAATGTATACACTGGTAATTTAAAGCTTTCTTCTGAATTTTAGATGCAATGTCAAACGTTCCTCAGTGTTTTGAGTCTTGGGTAATTAGGAGAGATAACTCTTGAAAGTGGACTTTTTATACCAAATATTTTTTAAATTGGATTTTTCATTTCGTTTAAACATTCTTCATTCAATTTGACACATGTTATTCATCGAAATACATTCCTTGTCTCTTCAGAACTCATTTTCTTAATGTTTTAAGCATAGATTAAAAAGATAATGACATTAATTGTTTTTTATGAAAAAACTATTTTTTCTAATGAAATTATTATTAGGAATTATGAGGTATTTTCACTGTGTGTACTTGTCTTAAGAACATGCCCATCTTTTGACACTGAAAGTTCTGAAATTCTGTTAATGATAAACTTGAAATGAAACATTTCATTAAAATTAGACAAAAACTAAAAAATTCTATAAAAAATATTTATGATATCAATGACCCCATCTGGATATTTGACATCTACATTATAAGTGGTGCTCTATTGAAATCTAAAATAAACTGTGGATGTAATGAGCCACCTTAAGGGATATGCAAGGTGAAACACATAGATTAATGTGATAATTGTTAGTCATTTTTATTAAAAACATAAATTAAAGACAATAAAATACTAACGATACCATAAAATCAGAACCCAAAGAGATCGTTTTTTGAAAACGAAAATTAAGAAAACTACAAAGCATAGCTGCTGATTTTATATACTTATAATGAAAAATATTATGAAAAAATTAAGATGAAACAATCAAGTGTATGTCAATTAGAATTTCTTTTCCCTCCCTTCTCCAAAAAGTAATATTGTATGTTAGGTATATGCATGACTTGGAAATACCCACATGGCACCATCAAGCCTGTCAAATTTCATGACTGTAACAAAAATAATTCTCTTTTGGATAGGTGGTATACATTTCTGTAAATTTAATATCTTATTAGAATTTCTAATTAATTGAAATATAAATAAAAAATCTCAAAAATTTTTCCAGAAACAGGACTTTACACTATCAAAACCTCATATATTTTTTAGCCTTTGAAAAAGATGATTTAAAAGTTGTACAATTTTCAATTTTTCACTAAATTATGTGTCCTGGTAGACAAAAAATGCTGTTTACATATGTAACTAAATACATGTACCCCTTCCTTAGTGAGAAAGGCACCTATTTTAGCCAAAATATTTCAATTTTGGAAAGAAAAACAATATTTTTTGTGTTAAATTAATCCTTAAAAGTTGTATTGATAAGTGATATCCATATTATAAATTTAAAAAAAGATCATTTCATAATCATTTAATTTCACGACAAAATGTCGCGAATTTAAAGCTTTGAAAATTGTTGTCACGCGCTAAATCCCCCATGGGAATTTTCAAAAGTTGGCATGTATGAATAGTTTCTCTTCATAAATTTAAGAAAAATGAAGTCAATGTCAAAGGAAAAAGGTCAAGTTCAACAAACGTTGAAAGGTGAATGGTCTTGGAGTATGTAACAGCATAAATCTCCCATAACTCCCTGGAGAACAAACATAATATTAAGTTCTGGGAGATCAATAAAAATGATGTGGAAAAGTAATCCAAAGTAGAAAAGTAGGGTTTTCTTTGAGTACCATCAACTGTAGGTTACTAAGGTTAATGAAAATTCTGAATAATTAAAAATTTAAACAAAACTAGGCAGGCTGTTGTGAGGTTAATTGTACTCCAGCATGCTAGAGGTTCACGGCGAGATATTTTTGATTTGGCGCCACATATCGTAATATATATGGAGCGTAGGGACATTAACCGAGGCTCTTACTTGTAGGAGTAGGGTTAATTGCTTACATTAAGATATACACCAGGTGCTTGCTACAGGTATTCCAATGATACTTTCCAGTTACCTGCTGTTGCCGAGGGCGTTTTGCGACCTTTGCCCTCTGAACTCTTGTGATAACTTCCACCATTTTGCTGACATGTGCGGTGATTGTGTAACAGTGCTGGTGAAATTTCCACCAATCCCTTGTGAGATATGTCAGTCCCACTCTTGTATCCATGGAGACGCAGGATGTCATCCAATGACAGGCACTGATACAAAAATGTTGATAGATGTTTATACATATAATGCATTTGTAATACATGTACATGAAATACTAACTGCAATAATGTAACCCTCTTCCCCCTTTTCTGAGAGGCTCCAGAAAATATCAGATTAAAAAAATCAGGGAGGGCTACATTATTGCAGCTTATGTAATACTGGTACATGATATCATTATCTAGCCCAATGTTAAATATTATGAATAATCTCAAAGTGGTGAATAACATGACTTCAAAACTCTCTTATAAAATTATCTGAAACCATAAATGGTACATACACAGATCTAAGCACAAAATATATACTACCTCTGTAAATAAATAATGCATAATACTCTGTTGTCATGATTAATAAAATAAAAAAAACCTAGGATGTAATCAAACTAGTGCTAATTGTAACGGGGACCGTTACAGATGTTCCCCAAACGCTCCCCAACTCCCTTTTGGTGCCATATTCCCTGTAAGCTTCATTAAATAAGACAAACTCTATGCACTTGAGACTTTACAACGTTTACCCAGAAGTGTACCAAGTTCATTCAAATTTTAGCGTTGCACACGTGCGCATGTGAATGCATGAGCGTACTGACCATATCATCATGTCTACACAATCTACATATTTCAATATACTGAATGTTAAAGTATTTAATCCAAAAGTATTAAAAAAATACGCTCATTCAAGTGTATTTTTGATTTTGCTCATTTCACGTGCACGCACAAGCATACATGTGCATGGTGACCATACCTTCTTGTAGAAGTCCATTACATCTATCTATGTTCTAAATCCCACCCCGTTTGGTTGAAAACCAAGGGAGTTATAGCTGTTTAAAGTTTTAGCCAATCAGATTGCAGCGCACGTACACCCGCGTGTATGCATGTGCATGATGACCATACTTCCTTGTAGTAGTCCATTATATCTATCTATGTTCCAAATCCCATCCTATTTGGTTGACAACCAAGGGAGTTATAGCTATTTAAATTTTCAGCCAATCAGAAAGCAGCACACGTGCGTGCACGTGTTTTCATGATAATTGCTATATATCATGTTGTAGGCTATCCTAATGCATGGCGATGTTCAAAATTTCAAAGGATTTCGTCAAAAAACAAGAAAGATATTGAGACTTTAGTTTCAGCCAATCAGAGCGAAGTGCACGTGCATGCGCGTGAGATCTTGCTATTTTGACCATGTCATATTGTCTGTGCTACTAAAATATTCTTATATTATAAGTTTGAAAGCATTTCATCAAAAATTTAAAAAGTTACTCCTATATCAATTAAATCGGTCATTTCACGTGTTGCACGTGCACGCTCTTGCAAGCACGTGCGCGCAAAATGACCTTCGTTCCGCAAATCTACATAACATGCCTACTGACCCTAAAAAGGTTTTACCTAAGTCAGATGTGTAGTTTACAAGATCACTCCCGGACAAAAAAGTACCCAGGAAGAAGAAGAAAAATAATAATAACTAGATGTGAAACTCGTTGCGAGCAACGAGAGGTCTTCCGTCCGATTCCGGAAAGAAAACGTTAAATCGATCTGAAAAAGTAAACAAAAATTGCACATAAAAGGGGATTGAGTCGCCAACATGAAAATCCAGCAAAAAAATCCAACGCGCTAAATATTACGCTTTTGAGACCTCTGCTCTAAATTTTCTTGTATATACCTCGGTATAACAGTGCTTTTGTCTTAGAATTATGAAAGGCGAGTCACTATTCATAATTTCGCGCCAAACGCTACGAATTAATCTTAGCGCCTTTTCTTTGGAATGTTCTATCTTATAGGTGTGATAGCTTCAATGAAATAAAGAAATGTTCTTATAGCCTTAAATTCGAGAATAAGAAAGTATATTTAACACATTTAATTTTACAAATTCCATATCGTATGTAAGCAAGTACGACTAAAGCAGTGATACGGCTACGGATTTTTACCTTTTTTAATTTCCTGTTTATCCCCAAAGTGAACTCTCCCGATTAGTTAAATTTTCATGAAAAGGTTGTACTGTTTCGCCGAAAAACATGGCTTGCCTTTCGACGGTCAGGGAATTGGATACCATTTGTGCTCAATAACTTGAATCAGATCTTCGAGACAATAATTTTAATACAAACCCCATTAAGCGATCTTTTAAAAAATAGTTATCTTATTTTGTCTTTTCTATTAGTTTAATATGACACAAGTTTTATACTTACTGTATTCATTGATATTCTTTCTTGAAAAACTATTACTTATAACTATGATTTAAGATCTGTTTTTCCGTGTTGCAAATCAGAAGATACATGTATTAGGTATCGTATTTCATTTGCACATTTAGTCTTTTCGTTTTCTACTTTGAGAACCAGCCAAACCAATTATAGAAGACGTTTAAGAAGAACTTAGTTTGACACAGAATTGCAACGTAAATACGACGTGACAATCCAAGTATTCCTTTACATTTCATTTATCCTTATGTTACCTTCGTTCAAGCAAACGCTCGGCTGACTCCGTAAACCCCTATTGCGAAATGTCGGAGTTGACAGAGACAACCGCCATATTGGACCCGCTTCAGATTTTTAAATGCTAATATTTGGAGTTTGGATTTATCAATTTACAAACAAATCATATAGCAAGCATTATAAGAAGGGTTACTGTTAGCATTCCAAAAATAAATGAAAAATATTGGAAAACAAAAAAGTTCGAAAAATATCGTTTTTTAAATTTGCATCTCGTAACGACCGGAAGTATTGACGACACACAAAAAGGTGATTCTGCAAACCAGAAAGTCACGAGCTATTGTCTCCAATGAGTCTCCAGTTCATATCTTTAGCCATTCTCGAAAAAAGTGCGCGACAAAATCGCATTTTAAAATCAGAAAATTGTCCATAACTTGGCACCGGAAGCGAATTTTCCAAAACAAATTATAGACTGCACAACATCAAGTAATAACGCATTTTTTGTGAAAGTTTCGTTGAAAACCGCTGAATAGTTTTCGAGAAATCGCGTGCACAAAATTTTGTGAAAAAAAGAATAATAATAATAATAATAATAATAAGAAGAAACAATACAATCACTATAAGGTCTTCCGTGAAGACGGAAGACCTTAACTAGATACGATCTCGTTGCGAGCAACGAGTGGGTCTTCCGTCCGATTCTTGATAAGATGAGATAAGATTTTGATTGAGATTTTCATTCTAAAATAATGATTTTCCATAATCTGTAAAAAGACATTGAAAATTAAAGACTTTTAAAAAATCGAGTTTTGGCCCCTCACGGCCCCAAACATTAGGGATCAGCGCTTTTTTCTTCATATCATCTGAAAGCTCTCATGATTTTGATGACTTTTTGTTCAACAACTGTTCAGAGATTCTTTTTCGTTTTTGAGTTATTTGCATAAAAATATTGAGGGGCTAGCCTTTCAACTCCTTAATAGGGACGTTTAGCGAAAAATAAAAGGTTTCATATTGTTCAGAACATGATTTTGCACATCTTCTGTTCAATATTACTTATCAATTTATTTCTCATTTTCGATATATAAAGCATCGAAAATTTAGCATTCTGGCCCCTTTTGGCCCCTAATTACGTACCATACGACAAAAAAATCATGATATATAGTTGTAAATGGTTAAGATAAACGTCTTTGCTTTAGAAATGTATTGCAAAATATTAACTGCTAAAGAGTTATCGATTGAGGACTTTTGGCCTCTCTTGGCCCCTAATTCGAGTGCCAAGCCCCTTCTTCTGGATTTCCCCTTAAAGCTCTTAGGATTTTGAACACTTTTTGTTCAACAACTATTCAGAGATTCTTTTTCCTTTTCGAGTTATTCGCAAAAGAAATATTTAGGGGCCAACCCTTCAACTCCCCAAATGGGATGTTTAGCGAAAATTGAAAGGTTGCATATTGTTCAGAACATGATTTTGAACATCTTTTGTTCAATATAACTTATCAAAATATTTCTCACTTTCGAGATATAAAGCGTCAAAGTTTTAGCATTCTGGCCCCTTTCGGCCCTTTATTATGTAATATACGACATTAAAATCATAATCTACAGTTGTAGATTGTTGAGATAAACATTTTTGCTTCAGTAATATATAACAAAATATTGACTGTAAAAGAGTTATCGAAAAAAGACTTTTAGCCCCTTTTGGCCCCTAATTTGAGTGCCCAGCCCCTTTTTCTGGATTTCATCTTAAAGCTCTTAGGATTTTAAACACTTTTTGTTCAACAACTATTCAGAGATTCTTTTTCGTTTTCGAGTTATTCGCAAAAGAAATATTTAGGGGCCAACCCTTCAACTCCCTAATGGGGACGTTTAGCGAAAAATGAAAGGTTGCATATTGTTCAGAACATGATTTTGAACATCTTTTGTTCAACATTACTTGTCAAAATATTTCTCAATTTCGAGATATGAAGCGTCAAAGATTTAGCATTCTGGCCCCTTTTGGCCCCTAATCATGTAATATACGACATTAAAATCAAAATTTACAGTTGTAGATTGTTGAAATAAACATTTTTGCTTCAGTAATGTATAACAAAAAACCGATTGCTAAACAGTTATTGAATAAATTCTTTTGGCCCCTTTTTGTCCTTAATGTGCTGAATCAGCACTTTTTTCTTGGTGTCATATTAAAGATCTTAGCATTCCACACAAATGTTGTTCAGTATGTCTTAACAAAATAATTATACTTTAAAAGATATGACACAAAATGTCTGGAAAATTCACTCATGATTCGTGTCCTAGATTTTGACCCCTACCGAGCTTCCATATTTGAACTTTCTGAAAAAATTTAAATCCAATGTGCAATTCAGCAATGTGTCTTCTATCATCGCTGAAAATTTCAGCTTTCTAGCTAATGTCGTTTTTGAGCTTACTCACGGACAAGGAGACCCTCTAAAAATCACTGAAAGGGCGATAACTTCCGACCGGAAGTGATTTTTTTCAAAATTGAGTCGGGGGTACAAACTTCAGATAGAAGCACATAATTTCTAAAAATTTAAACAAAATCGATCGAGCCATCTTCGAGAAATCTTCTGCACAAAAATTGTAAAGAAAAAAAAAAGAATAAAAGTGAAGAAGAAACAATAGAATAATAGAAGGGTCTTCCGTTGGAGACGGAAGACCCTAATAATAAGAAACAGAGTAAAAACAATATGTTCCCCAACTTCGTTTGGGGAACATAATAAGCATAAGCTACAGTGTATGATAAACATTTCATCAGTCAATCCATTTGGTATAATATACATGTATATGATTTTACATCTGCATGTATTTTTATGAGTTTGATATTTATTTAATGATTTTACAACTTCCTTCAAAATTTTTTAGGGATTTTGACAAATGAACATGATGATTGGTCAGAAAAGAAAGCAATCTTAAGGGGTTAATTTTACAGAACATTATTTGTTTATAATACAGTTACAATACAATATAATCCATATATATAAATCCTGTGTTTTTTTTGCAGTACTTTGTCTATGAGCAATCTTACCTTTTTCACTGTACATAATTTGTCTGTCGAGTTTTGACAAACATCATAAAAATCCTGCTGTCCAGTGAAGTCCTGAAATTTGTCTTTGAACTTCTGTCTGGAGATTTTAGAACCGTTTCCATTGATGCCAAGAATGTGGTTCACGAATCGCATCGTTTGATTGGACACACACACTTCCTTTGTCTGCCCAGCTGATGGGAAGAATATAGTCAGGATCAACGTGAACAGCAGATGCCCCCTCATAACGAACAACCTGAAATAAGTCATCAAAGGAATTAAAAAGTCATTCAAAAAATACATATTAAATGTTACTGTATGCCACATACAAGCTATTAAATCCCTCATCATAGATACAGGCAAGCTGAGATCACTATAAGCATGAGAATGATTTGATTTTTTTCCTTAGTAGAATAACATCATATCCCTGTGAACCTTTGTCTAGCTTCCGTTCTTTCTCAAGTAAGAAAGTACATGATTACATGACCACGCATGTGTACTAAATGTTCTAATCACTAATATCTATAAAGCAGTTTAACAAACAGCTGTGACATCAAGCCACAGTGCTTGCCTCAGTTGGCATTTAGGATCTTACAATTTACTTTCTGCATATTAAGTGAATAATTTTTTTTATAGTGATATAACACAGAGCAATGTTCCAAACTAATTATTCAAACATACTGCTTATTGGACAATTGGACCTGTATATGTCACTCTAAACCAAAAAATAATAAATCATTAAATGAAAATATAAAACATTATATTTCGTATGTCTTTACTTTTTTGTATATAGGTGTGAAAAAGGAAGGGATAAAAATATGACAGAGGCCGAGTTGCAGGGTTCGACACTTTCTTTTTTATGCATTAGTCCAGCCGGACTAATGACCTATAACTTTTATTAGTCCGCAGGTAATGTTATTAGTCCGCCAAAAATAAATGTTGAAATATAAGTTGTATAGTGTTTTTATTATAGTGATTCTTTGTCAAAGATTCCTGGAAATCACGGGATTTGCGAGTCCGTTCATACTCCCGATCTTTTTTCTCAATACTAACGTCTAACTTTCGCTTCTTAACATTGTCAGTATCCAGTTTAAAAAAGTCTGACATCTTCTTCTGTTTCTCAATTGCAGCCTGCGTGTCAAACTACTAAATCATGATCACTGAAACAGTTACCATAATCTTTATCATTCAACTATGCAAATAAGCGTCTTTTTGATCAGGACTTTTGACCTCCCGCCATGCATAAAGAGCTAACAATACATTTGGGGTTTTCCAGCAAAATGTCGTGAATCGAACATAGATAATTTTTCATACAAGCAGTAATTTTAATTAGTCCGATCGGACTGACTAGGTGCAGATTTTATTAGTCCGACATAAAATTCGTTAGTCTGAGACTAACAGACTAACGTTAGTGTCGAACCCTGAGTTGGGATTTTAATCCAGGCCCTCTGAATCTTCAGTCAGCTCTTTTAAAAAATACCAACTGATTGAGCTTAATCTGGCCAGTTTGTCGATCTATCCTGTTTGATCGACACAAATGCAACTTACATAGGTATCCTAGGGATAAATCCATTTATTTCAATTTATTGGTAACGGGTTCATTCGCCCAATCTACCTGTTCGCGGGAGTCCGTTCGTGCAGAGTCCATTCGCCCGAAATATTTTTCGCCCAATATCTTGTTTGCCCTATATGTGGTTCGCCCAATACTTATATATACACTACTTGTATATATAAACTCATATGAATCAAAAAAATAAATCATTTTTTTCTCTTTATTTCCTTTACGAACTTGGGATATTTTTTCTCAAATTCTGATACGAGGAACAATGTTTATTTAGTCTTCATTAATTTTTGATTCTAAATTCTAATGTTTTTTGAATGACTTAGTGTTTGCACTATAGTTAATTAGATGATTAATATGATTAATATCAATGTTAATTAGGAGGAAACATCAGTGTTATTTTTAGGAATTGCGCTATGTTTTGAAAACAATTAAAGGACTGAGACGTTCATTTAAGCAATAAAATGCTTTCTTTGTTTGTTATTACTGGAATGAACGGAAGCAGCTGTTGCAGAAAAAATACATACCCGCGTAAGCGGGTTATGTAAATTTTTTCTGCAATAGCTGCGACCGTTCATTCCAGTAATAACAAACAAAGAAAGACATTTTATTGTTTATATTTATATCTGTTTAAATTATCATTTTAAGTAGGATTAAAGATATTAATTATTGTGTTAATGAAGTGAACATCTTTGCAAGTTTCATTGATGGAACGGCCACTGATCAAGAAATCTGTACAGGTGATATGCCTAATGTAGTTCATGCAGTGATGAACGCAATGGGTTTTCTTAAGAAATAAAGAAGAAAATATTCAGTGGATGTAAATATAGGTCCATAATAGAAATGAACAGCGGGTGTCGAAGGTTTTACCTTTGAAGAATCTCCCTTTGATCTCAAAAAATGATTTATAAGAAGATGGAAGATAGAAAATGAAAACATGTATTTTAACATTTTGGAATTTCCAAACAGGTCTGTCAGGATTTGATAGCTCAGGTATTTAGTGTGACCATTTTCTGACAATATGTATAACGTATGACGGTCTGTTTTATTTTGAATGTACCAAGAATTTGGAAAGAAATTCCTTAGATTTCATTCTACATTAAATTAGGGAAAATCGTGCGAACAATTTTTAGGGCGAACGAACATGGAACCCAATTTATTGATACATATTGAGATTCTAGTACTATCATATACATGATGTATCATGTATACATGTACATGTATCATAAATAACTTCCAGTGCTTATGAGTCTGGCAGCTTGTCTATAAACCCTAGCTGTGTAAAAGAAAGGAATTTCAATCACTACAAAATTTTAGTAACCCAACTTTTCTGAAAGAGATTTGCCCCATTTTAAAATAAATAAGAAACAGAGTGTACATCTTAGAAATTTTTTCAATGTCAGGATTAGATTATAAATACTAAAATAAATGATTTAATACAGACTTATTTCATATCATAATATACAAATTATACATAAATGATGTTAAATTGCTGTTTATCAGTTTGTTTAGTTGTGAGAACCAGACCCCCAGTTGTTATAAAACAGTCTATTTTATCTTCCTTTTTCTGAATTTGAAGACATTAATATTTTTCTTAAAAAATGATGGCATGTCATTTCTAGGAAATATCATTTCAAGTTTCAGGTCAGAGTCAGTTTTTTCGTTAAGATTTTGTAGATAACATTAATATCCAGCTTTAGAGTTGTATGTGTAAAAGTGCTTCAACACACTTAGAAATATATGAAAAGTATATTACGGATAAGAAATGCCTAACAAAAAACTGATTTTATAAGCTGTAAAGTATTATGGTAAATTAACCTAGAACAATTATCAGAGATTAAAACTGTATAAAAATAAATGAAAGCTTACATAACGCTCAACCTTTTTTTTTTTAAATTTATCACTGTAGGATTGAGATCATAAATTTGACACACCGAGGAATTTCGGGAGACGGGATAAATCTGTGAGGATTTCCTACACATGACAGGAACTTGGTCAACAGAACATAAAAATTATCACAAAATTACATATTTTTTGTATGAGATAAAATTGTACCCTTTCTCTTGTTTACCTGCTCGGCACAAGGACGTGTAATCCTTTGTCGGGTTTTTTCAATTTTTGTTTTTTTCTGCGTACTCGTGTAATAAAAAGTCAATGTCAATCTCACGCATAGAAGGATGATTGATAAAACGCACTAATTCTAAACGCAAGAGAGAGCATGAAAGAGCACTATAAATTATGAACAAAAATGTTACTTTGTGAGAGAAGGCTAAATAAAATAAAATAAAAAAAAAAATAAAAAAAAATAAAAAATAAAGAAATAAAATAAAATAAAATAAAATAAAATAAAATAAAATAAAATAAAATAAAATAAAATAAAATAAAATAAAAGTATGACGGCATGACCCATGTTTTACATGTAAACGTGTCAACAAAAGTGCAATACAAAAAATACTCATATATAGCCTAATATTTTTTATAATTATTCTGAAAATACATTTATTTTGTGTATTGAATAAGCTTTTTAACCCATGGTAGATTATTAAAGTTTGTACTTACATTTACTTAAAATTGCTTTATCATATTGATGGTCATTTTGCAAAATTACTTTATTAAAAAAACATTTCAGATGATTGTGTACACAAGTACTTTGAAGTTGATATTAAAAAGATTCTTTTGTTTCTCATTGAAATATCTGTGTGATTCTAGGATACCAGGTCTTTCAACAATTTATTGCCGGGAATTCCAATGGGTATTAATTGCGCCCCGTTATTAGCAGACCTATTTTTGTATTCATATGAAGCAATCGGATCACCTCGATCGCCCCTTTCAAAAAAAAAGATCTAGCCTGAGACGGAAAAGGGCGAGGTGATCCGATTGCATATGAAGCAGAATTATTCAAAATCTTAACGTATGGAATCCGGATAGGGCCATTCAGTTCAATATCGACGTAAAGGTTGATGACTCGATAATGCGAAGACAATAAAACTATGGTGTGATAGCGTGATGACGATGATGCGATGGCGCGACAATGCGATAACGATGGTGTGATATCATGATGAAGCGATAGTGAATATCGACTCATTGGCATCGCATCATCGTGCCATCGCTATCGCACCGTCACGTCATTGTACTATCGCTCAATCGTATTATCGCATCATCGCACTATCGACCGAAACAACGATGGTACGATGCGATATAGTGTCAGGTTATTATAGATGACCCTCTCCGGATTCCATATAAACGTGAAAAGAAAATATTTGCTGTGGCCTTCAAGTGTGACATTTTGATATTTCGACGGCATATTGTCACTCAAGAATTTAATTCTTTTCCATTCTTAATTCTCCAGTCAATTGGTATATGTTCATCAGAACACCATATCAAACTAGATGTTATCAGATTGTGGTCCTTTTATTTTACTTCCAAAATAAGCATACAGGTTTTACATTCACTGCAACCACAATGCTTTAAACACACTTGCAAGAAATCAGAATTCTCTGTATCTAATATGCATGATGCAAGAAGGAGATAAGGAACAAAAGTCAAACTCAGAGGTCCTCTTCGACGATACAGATCGAGAGCAGAGCGAAGACGGACCTCTATAAAACATCAGAGAAGGGATCAGGTACCATGAATGAGGAAGGGTCTCTGTCGACCGTCATTCCCGTCGTGTGCCCCTCGTCACGATCAATGTGGTATATGAAGCCATTTTCATTGAAATAATAATAATGAATATAAAATTGTGGATAAGATATGTGTAATTTTTACACATAGAACGTAAAATCACTTGTCAAGAGATCAGCGCGTAATATTCTTTCCTTTTACATTGAAGCAGATCATATCCCGAGTAATTAATGTCATTAGTAAATGTAGGAACACAGTAAAATGCGTGGTGAACCCGTATCATTATTAAATCTTTACATCCATTTTTGTAGCCTTTTTGATTATTGCCAAAATATGATATATTTAACAGGTGTTTTGATGAAAGGGAAGCTGTACATAATATATATACATGTATCTAATAAACAAATAATGTCACTTTTTACGAGGAAATGGATAGAAATGTACGTTTTCCCTTCATAACTATGATAACTTAATCATAAAATGTCAGTTGAAATTTAACTGATTCAGATTTGAAAAAACTTACTTTCAAAGACTTAAAAAGTTCCAGAAACACAACAAACTAAAGTTTAATGGATGTTTTCTTAAGGATCGCTGATATTGATGCTTACCTTGCACTTTAGATGACGGCCTTCATGTGCCACGAACAACAAGCCCCGCCCCCCACCACTGGGGCAAAACCTTCACACCTGGTGATTTCTTATAAAACAGGAATATAACAGAAAAGTTCAAGTCCAAGATTTATTTATTATTCCCTTTAAGAGGCAAAAGGTGGCATAAATGGTCCACGTGGTTTTGTGTAGGAACTCCTCATCAGGAAACTTACCACGAGAATTACATTTCTTTTGGTTCTACCTTTTCTTGCTGATTTTCAAACCCCTTCGGTTGGCACTACAAGCCTGGGAGAAACACTCTTTATATAATTCAATATAACGATAATAATACTAGTAGCTAACATCTTATGCACCTACTCTTGTTTCATATTTTATCGTTCATCGACACACGTATTGTTAACACAGACCTTGTCGTAACTATTCATTTTTAGAAAAATATAACCCAATACTTTGTGATTCTCATTTTTTTTTAAATACGCAGAATAACAAACAACAGCAACAACAACAACAACAACAAAAAAACATGCAATGTACTGAATGTAGCCTGCAGGCCAGTATTTTTTTTTTTTTTTTTTTTTTTTGGTGCCGAAAATGTACAAGTGATGTACATGTACTCGATTTCATAGCTGTTTTTATTCATTGTATAAAAACTTCTATGGAAAATCATGACGTCTATGGTGACATATATCTGCCCCATACATGCAAGATACATTTTGTTAACTTGCAATATACATGTAATAACGTAGACATGCAACTTATTTATTTTTGACAAAGCAGGTAACAACATTGTCTTTGTTTGTATGGCTCATCACATGTATTTAAATTGTATTTTAGAGGAATAGGGATTTAATTCCACTAGTGATAATAAAACTCATAGCAATAGCTCCCTTTCTAAGGAGGAAAATCTTCAAAATCATATCATAATGTTAGTTTT